CTTTATAATATTTCTGAGCAACTTTATTTTAATCCTGCTTGTATAATTTAGGCCAATCATGGTGCTGTTGCTGAAGAAGCCGACAGCACTGGCATCACCACTGACCATCAGTATTGTGTAAATGTAGTGTATGTTTATGCAAGAAATGTAACCGTCTTTTTTCTTTTAAGCCCCATCATGTGATTCTGACTGCAAGCAATGGAGTTTTCGATAAGTTCTTGCAAACAGCAAAAAGAGTTGATTATTATTATTGTCATCATTTTTTTTTTTATTCAAGGTCATCCAGAATGCCTCAACGCGTGATAGTAAAGTGTACGAACTTCTTTCTTATATGGGACTTGCTGTCTGCCTGAAGAGATTTTTTTCTATGATGTCTGTAGCAGTATTGACTGAATACCCAGTAAACTGGCAGGACCTATCACTTGGAACGCTCGGCTCGGGATCTGTTTTCACATTAAAACTTTTATCTGGATCCACCGAGTGTTGGCTGTTGACGTGGCCTTCCATCTGAGTTTTATCACCGTTGGGATGTTGCCTTCCCTTTTATTTGTCTGGTCATCTTTTGCTATGCGGGTACATCGATTCCTGTTGCTTTCATAGCTGTTGACCGTAGCAAGTCAGTGCAGCTTGATTCCACAATCGGTGTTCTGCTTCTGTTCTTCAAGACTTTATCTGCACCTCATAGTCACCTTGTTTTTAGTATCGTCTAGGACTTTTCTGAACTTAGGGCAGCCTCTGCTACCTGCTCTATGATAAGCTGTTATTTCGCAATCGGCATTTTAGGTTTCCTCGTTGCAATCTTTTTTATGGTCATTGCAACTGCCGCATCGAAAGCACAGCTTTGACCTGTTCTCCTCATAGCAAGTCCGAGCTATGTATCTACATCCCAGACATCTGTAGCATCTGAAGACTTCGACACGTCTCTTAACTCGGCAGCTAGTAAAGCATAATTTGCAAGCTCCTCATTTTTTATGTCTTCTGGGTATCCGTCTTTCCAGTATTCATCAGAGCTACTCTTAACTCTCTCTTGTTTTCTCGCAGCAACGTCACTATTTTTTTCAATAATGAGTACCAGGAAATCTTAGACAAATTATCATTAGCTTGTACAAGGAGATTTTTCATATTTTTAAACTCTTCACAACTGTCCTTGAATTCGTACAGTAGGTTCAGAAGCACTTTTATGCCGTCTTTACTCAGGTTTGCTGTATTTGTGTTTGTTGTCGATGCCACTTCCACCACATTTTTTAACACCAGTTCGAATTCTGTAATAATAAAGTTTTTGTTTGTCTACTTAACATTTAGCTCTGTTTATTTTTCGGTGGTGTATTCTTGATGTGTTTTGGTGTTGTGTTCATAAATCTTGCAGCGTTAATATCTATCACTCGACTTTCAGTGCTTAGCAGTCTTCCACATCCATAACTAGACACGGATATGGAGCCCTGCTGTAAGTGTTTTTCATCGTCTCTTGGAGCCTTTCAGAAGCAATGATATCAGGAGCAGCCCGGTCCACCACTATCTTTGTGTAGTCACATAATCACACGGATGCTGGTTCTGAAGATTCAGGTGCCCTTGGCACAAAAAATTTATATGTATTGATGTATTGATTTTTTCCATATGTGGTCCCAATGATCTTGTGTGTTTTGCACTGCTTGGTGAAAGACAGCGCTATCCTTTCTTTAAAACAAACAACTGGAAAGGGTGTGAGTCAGCCCAGTGGCTTTCCTGTTACCAGTAAGGTCACCTCTTGATCTGGCTGACCGGGAGTTGCCATCCCTTCTCAGTCCCAGTGCTGGGGATTGCCGTGACATTATGTAAAAAATTATTTTGTAGAAAGTGTATGTATAGTGCAGTATGGAAATTCACGACGAGTGCCTTAGAGAATGGCTACCAGTTATGCGAACTTCTAGTCAGCTCCTGACTCCTACAGCATTTTTAGAACGAACTTTTTTATGTCGCGTACTCGGGGGGCTGCAATTTTAAAACCAACAGATTTTTTTTTTTGAATCGGAAGTCTCTTCCTCTCAAGTTTCCCCCCTTACCCCGTCCCCCTCACCTACTGTTTTCTACACCCTTCCCCTCCCCCCACTATGTATGTATACCTGCCAACCGTGACGTGTTACTCTTCTGCACACCTTTGCCCACCATTCCCTCTCACACTCCCAAGCAATTAATTTTTTAACAAATTTTAAATTTATTTTCCCACAATAATTTTTCTTCTTTGACTTTGAATTTTTGTCTTTTAGAATTCTAAAAAAAAACAAAAAAAAAAAAAAAAAAAAAAAAAAAAAAAAAAAAAAAAAAAAA